ATCAGTTGTGAGGCAGTCGTCAATGCTAAACCACAACCGGCGTCAAGGTGAATTATCACATACAGTATATCACAGTATCAACGGTTTGGGGACTCGCAGACCGTGACTGTAGAAAGTTCAGCCTCCTGATGAGTTGGTGACACCCCGATGAAAGAGTTTGTCACTGCCCCTCCTTCGTTTTTTCTCTTCTCCCTTTCTCCCTACGGTTCACCGAGTACGACGTACATATTCCTGAGGAGAAAATTGCTAAATAGAGATCCAGGGCTCAGTTTCGTGTACCATGGGACTTCGGCATTCTGTGGCCTTAATCGCTGCTGTCCTTCAGGACATCCGCTACAATTGGAACAAACGAGAAGATTGACCCAAGGGGGTACTCGCACTAGGACTTTTTCTACCTCTCTGTGGACGCAATTTGCACCAGGTGAATCCAGTCGGGGCCGGAAAAGCGGTCTCATACATCCATGAAAGTCCTACTGTGACTATGCCCTGGGAAAAGGCAAAACGGCGCAAGGAACGACATCAGATTCGATGGCTCGCGTACTACCCAACTGCGATGACTCAGCATCCATCCGAAGCCGATTGTCAAAGTCCCTCGCCACACGGCTGTCGAAACAAGAAAAGTACAAACGCATCTTCCCCGGGAAAGCGATCAGATGCATCTGTTACCATTCATAGTAATGGATGCATCTGGCCATTAATTGCGGGAACATGCAGTCGTACCTTCTCTGTTTCGACAGCGGTGTGGCGAGGCCCAAAGTGATGCTGCTGCTTTTGAAATCGTTCGAGCGAATGCTGCTGATTTTTTTTATTTTTATTTTTTTGTATGCTGCTGATTTTGCGATCGTTAGAACACGACAGTCGAGTAGACTCAGGGCGTCGCCGCACGGGACACGAAACGAAAAACGAAACGAGTGCATCTTCCTGGAGAACATGGCCAGGTTCATCGTTCGGTATAAATAGTAACGAATGTATTTCGTGGGCAGATGCACTCGTTTCGTTTTCGTTTCGTGTCCCGTGCGGCGAGACCCTCAGGGCATTATCACCTCCGATAGCTCGCCAGGATTACGCGACTAAGGGCCTCGCCACACCACTGTTGAAACGAAAAAAGAAGGAATGCATCTTCCAGAGAAAGCGGTAAAATGCATCCGTTGCTAAGAATAGTAACGGATGCATCTGGTCGCCTTCTGAGGAAGATGCACTCGTACTTTCCTCGTTTCAACAGCAGCCGTGTGGCGAGGCCCTAAGATGGAGACGGCGATCTACGCACGAGTTTAACGGCCTCGCCGCACTACTCTCCCAATGTGCAAAATGAGAATGAATGTTCCGCTATAACATGGGAAGACCAAGAAAAAAAAAAAAAAAAAAAAAACATGGGAAGATGCACCGCCATTAGATAGTTGGTCTTTTCTGCACGTGGTGAGTAGTGGATCGAAGCCCATAAATTGGCACGGCTTATTCAGCAACTATCAGAATCGGACACTCAAAAGCTGCTGCCCATGAATTCAATAAGGGACGTTGGGCCCGTTTTGTGAAAAAAAAAAAAAGGTGCTGCTCCCCACGAATAGAATGGAGCTTTGTTTTGTGAAAAAAAAAA